CTGGTGTGGCTTAATATAACACCGACGAGGATGGGCGGGGACCGACCAAAATAGATCCTCGGCGGACTTTAATACGCTGCTCGTTCAGTCTATGGGTGGGACCCATTACAGTTGTAAGGGTGGATTTTCACGCCCGCGTGAAATGGGTGAACTATTGGACTCCAGTAAAGGTGGGGTTGGACCAACGCCCGAAGCGTAAATTACGCGCCACGTGGCGTGATGTGGAGGATTTTGCCAGTCTGGCGTTTGGTCATCTGCCGGGGGGTCCCTTGAAGCTGTCAGATTTCAACAATGACAGTAAGCAAAAATTCTGCTCCACGTGGTATGTATTATGGCGCCTGGTCAGCTGATTCGGGTCCCTCAACGCTTTGGGTTGTTAGAGAAATTATTACTTACGAAATCCGGACTTAGCTTTAAGTCACTACTCTAATAAAATATTGACATATGCAATCCAATGACCCGACCCGACCCGATTCATTGATCCAATAGTGAAAAATATGATCTCAGCCCGTGAAAATTTTAGAATTGCGGCATTCCAAAAGTCCCGTCATTTTGAGTTGTTTTGCTTTACATCGTCTTTCTTTTTTAACTTCTCAATTCAAGCCCTCTCCATCTTCCAAAAAGGATCGCTCTCTTCTTTCAGAAGAAATTATTATGTGTGAACGCTGAATTTAAGGTTAAATTTATCTTGAAATGACAAAGATATTGGTTATGTAAATAGTTAAGTAAAATGCTTATTAGGATTTAGGGTTTATGCAAAATACTTATAGGGTTTATAAAAAATTTATGTCAAATATGGCTTTATTTCATTAATACAAATTATGTATTGTTATGTATTATTGTGTATTGAGCTTTGTATCGCTCTGTATTACTGTTAATTGAGTTGTGTATTGTTGTATATTATTGTGTATTGTTGTGTATTATTGTGTATTTTTGTGTATTGTTGTGTACTACTATATATTAATGTGTATTAATGTATATTGTTATGTACTTAGCTGTGTACTGCTATATATTATTGTATATTGAGCTGTGTATTGATATACATTAATCTGTATTGAGCTTTGTATTGATGTATATTATTATATATTGCTATGTATTTAGCTTTATATTGATGTATATTTAGATTTGTCTTGATGTGTATTGTGTAGAAATTCATAATCTGAGCTATTGGCTCAAGAACTCAAAAAGGAAGAAGAAGACAATAATGATAAATGAAAAGTATATTGTTTTCTCATGTCTTACGGTACAACCGAACCAGCTATAAATAGCTTGGGTACAAACACTTTACACGTGTGAAGAGATAATTGGTTCAGAAGATAAAGTGGTACAAATAATATATATTTATATGTTCTAATATTCCCCCTCAAGCTAACAGTTGGATTGAATTGTTAGCTTGGAACGCAGAATCTTGAATCGAAGAGTAGGCAAAGGCTTTGTAAATATGTCCGCAATTTGATCGACGGAGCTGATTGTAAGAAGCCGAATGGTGCCATTGTGAATGTGCTCACGAATAAATCTCTGATCGATCTCAATATGTTTTGTTCGGGCGTGAAAGACAGGGTTGTTGGCTAATGCGATGGTAGAAGTATTATCACAAAAAACGTCCACGGGCGAGGAATGAGAGACACGAAACTCGGCGAGAAGCTTTTTGAGCCAGATCACGTCAGTCGTTGCCGAGGCCAACGCCCGGTATTCAGATTCAGTAGAAGAGCGAGAAACTGTAGACTGCTTCTTCACTGTCCATGACACCAGGTTCTCTCCGAGAAACGAACAGAAGCCAGAGGTGGACTTACGAGTGACTGGATCGGATGCCCAGTCAGCGTCGGAGTATGAGCGAAGAGATAAGCTGGAACGAGTAATTGGAAGACCGAACTCCAGTGTACCTTTGATATACCGAATAAGTTTTTTTAGCATGGCTGTATGACAAGGAGCTGGATCATGCATATGCTGAGATAGCATATTGACTGTGAAAGCGATGTCAGGCCGCGTCAAAGTGAGATATTGAAGGGAACCAATGATTTTCCGGTAGAGGATTGCAGTGAAGCATGGTTGATCGGTGTCCGTCTGCACAGGAATTTTCGAAACAGAGGGATTAGCTACCGAATTGCAGCGTTGCAATTCGGCGAGTTGAATGATTGAGTTAGCATAAAGACTTTGGGATAAAAAGAACTTATCTGGTGAAGTGTCGATTTTAATTCCGAGAAAGTGGTTTGCGGGACCAAGGTTCTTCATTGTGAATTTTGAGCGAAGTTGAGAGACAAGAGCATTGATTTCAGACGCATCATTACCGGTGAGTAATATGTCATCTACGTAGACGAGGAGATATAGCTGTGTATTGTTGCGATGCCGGAAGAGAAGCGAGGGATCGGCTTGGCTATGAGAGAACCTGAGTTGAAGAAGATACGAAGTAAAGGTGGTATACCATTGCCTTGGAGCTTGACGAAGCCCATAAATTGCTTTCCGGAGACGGCAAACATGGTTAGGATGAGTAGAGTCTTCGAATCCTTTAGGTTGTTTCATGAAGACGGTTTCATTTATATCACCGTGCAGAAAAGCGTTCGTAACGTCCAATTGATGGACAGTCCATTTATAAAACAGGGCTATAGTGAATAGAATACGAATGGTGGGTAACTTTGCGACGGGGCTGAATGTCTCCATGTAATCCAATCCATATTTCTGTTGGTTCCCGAGAGCAACCAACCGTGCTTTAAAACGAGCTATAGAACCGTCAGCATTGTATTTGGTTCTATAAGTCCATTTCGAGCCGAGAATAGAGGAGTTTGACGGAGGTAGGACTAGCTCCCAGGTACCTTGTTTCTGAAGTGCGAAGAATTCTTCTGCCATTGCGCGACGCCATTCGAAGTGTTTATTAGCTTCGGAATAGGAAGTCGGATCAGACTGTGCTTGCTCGTGATGTAAAAGATTTAATTTTTGAACAGGTTTAAGAGAACCAGTTTGTTGTCTCGTAATCATATGATGATGCGGATTGGTCCTGTTTTCCGTTAGTCCGGGAATGGGTGTATCAAGACATGATTCAACCATTTGGTGACTAGATGTATTGAGAGAAGAATCGGTGGGATTCGATGCGATGTGTATGCCGCGAGGTGCAGATTGCTGTTTACAACCTTGTTGAACCGATGATACGGGAATAAGCAGAGACGGAGGCATAGAGGAATCGGCTGTGTTAGTGTTATCACACCTGTGCTGAAACGGAAAATTAGTTTCGTTAAAAGTAACATGTCGAGAGAATATAATTTTGTTGGTTTTGATATTTTGACACTTGTAGCCCTTTATAGTGTCAGAATACCCGAGAAAGATACACTGAGGAGAGGTTGGAGTTAGTTTAGTTCTATGGATAGGAGCTAGAAGCGGGTAACATTCGCAGCCGAACGGGCGAAGATGAGCGTAAGAAGGTTGTATACCAAACATTTTAAATAACGGTGATGAATTTTGTATGGTTGCCGAGGGAAGCCTGTTTATGAGATAAGTTGCCGTATTTGCGGCATCCAGCCAGTAATTCATTGGAAGACCTGCTGTTGCTTAATGTTTCGTTTGGGATAATTTTCTTATTGCTTCTTAAAGTAGATTTCTAATACAAAAAATTTAATGTTTATACTAAATAGCTGCTTTAAGAATAAGAAAGCCGTCGCAAACGAAGCCAAGAGAAAAAAAAATAGAGCGAGAAGCTCTTAAAATCAGGATTAGATTATTTTTCAAGAGTGTAAGATTGATGTGAGATCAATCAATTAAAATATATTATAATTTATCATACTCATCAACTGGCCAATTATTTATAAATTTAGGCCAAGTTTAAACACTACAAGAATGCTTCCATTTGAGTAGTATAATTAAAATTAGTAGGTATGGCTCAATAGTGCTTGATATTAAATTTCAAAGGCTATCAAGCTAGTAGTTATCTGAGTATTTTGGTAGTCTTTATGAGTTCCAAGTGGAGTTCTCTTGGTAGTTCATTTTGAGAGATCAAGAAGATTTGAATGACTTGACAAATTCAATAGAGTATATTCATTTTTCTGACCATTTCAATGTAGAGATGAGATCATTCAAGCAATTTAACAATAATGCTTTTGTGGACGACGAGGCTTTCGACAAATTGATTCAAGCGCTTGGGAACTTACTGAACTAATTGCATCGTTTTAGATGATTTGTTCGCATAAAATATCAACATTCTGATGATCCGATTAAGAGTTTAGATATATTAAATCAGAAAGGTATAGGTAGACCGAAAAAGATTTAATCTATAGAAAGTATTAGAAATGAGCTTTTTTATTAAGGCTTTGTTTGGGACAGTTTTTTTTTATGATTCTTAAAACATTTTTTTTAGTACAAGAATGTTGCTTTAAGAATCAGTAAGAAAGTCCTCCCAAACGAAACCTAAATTTAAATTAGAATTTAATTATTAATAAGATATAATAGAAAAAAAAATATGTAGCCAATCCTATAGTGCGAAATAAAAATTTGATGTTTTTGTAGTACAAAAATAAATAAATAAATTAATTAATTAAAATATGTACACTTAAATAGTTTTATTCATTATTTTAAAGAAAATGTATTTTTTTTAAATGATATGATTTTTTTTTTTTTTTTTTTCTTTAATATTTTGAAAAGAAAAACAAATTTCACGCACCACTCCTAACTCTCGCAATAACTTTCCCATCCAACCAAGCAATTGGAGACCAGTACAAATGGGCCTCCACGGTCCTCAATTAAGAGATTATAAGTAAAAACCTAGAGTCAGTTAACACACATGGTCAAAATTCATTACAAAATTAGTTCATTAATAGAAGTTCAAAGATTAGAAACCTAAGACTTCATTTGGCACGTCTTTCTTGGGCTTCATTTGGGGCAACTTTCTTATTGCTTTTATTTTTTACTAAAAAACTGATTTAATTTTTTACTAAAAAACTATTTTATAAAACAATAAGAAAGTCATCCCAAAAGAAATAAAAAAATCGTCCCAAATGAAACCTAAATTAAAAAAATCACCAAAACTTTTTTCTTTCTAAATAAACTGTAAATATAACAATGAAAACTGTGTACAGGAAACAACATATACTATATCTACATTAAATATTACACTAATTCATTTTATTTTATGTTTTTGAGAATGTAAATGGCTAGCAAAGCTTATGAACCCTGAAAGCTCTTCGCATTAGGAATGTTTATCCACTGCAACTGCAGCTCAATTTCACCGGACTCCACATTCCTGAGCCTCAGAAACATGTCCTGATAAACTTTCCCATTCTCCAAGCGGATAGCACTCTCTTCAGCCAGACAGTTTTGCCTGTTGGGCACCACTGTTGTTATGACAGACCCATCAACGAAGTCTTCTAAGTTCATCTTCACAACGTCGAAAATTGCTCGTATGTCGAACTCCGCATTGCCCATGGGGTCATCAAAGCTGAATAGATCCTTGTCAAACACGTACTGCAATAAAAAATAAAGAGAAAATTGTTGATGATTTATCTGAGAGAACATAAACCAGCATGTTAGGAAAAGTTCGAAAGTGTAAAGACCATATTTTTATTGAATTCTCATAAAGATTAAGGTTTTATTTGGAACGGTTTAGATAGCTACTTTACCGAGAAGACAAGGACCAGTGAAAAGCCCTGAAAGCCTTATTGTTAATAACATCGTACAGACTCTAGGAAGGGAAAATTTATTCTGTGCGGAAGCTGAATCCCGTCCGGATACCAGCCGGCGGCTCGGTACTGCTCGGTATCGCTAACGTGACTCATTTTGATTGGTATCTGGATACATAGCTGTTTTCGGCGTCGCACAGAATAATCTCTCCTAGGAAGGAAGGTAACACACATAGAATAGTCTGGCAGGATCTCTAATTTTTCATATTAATAGTTAAGCTTTATGCATATTGCCTAAAACACTTTTAACTTAGTGGATATTCATTCGAAACAACTATGGATATCACACAATCTGTAACTGCAAAGAGGCTATACCAGATAGATACCGAGTGTTGCACTCCTGCTAATTATTGCTGCGTCTACTTGAACATGTTAAAGATGTCAAGCAAGCATAGAAAATTGACATTATTTTCTATGCTAATTATTATAGGTATCATCAAGTATACATATCAAGAGCTTACTGAACAGAGTAACTGATTAATAACAGTTAAAGCATCGATTCATAGGCATGCCATCATAGAAATCAGAAGAATCTCATAAAAAAAAAATTGACATTATTTGAAGCAAAGATGAAATTTTGTAAAGATCTTATTTTATAAAATTACGGTTTCTGGTTATGCTTACATATCGGAATGTATAATGGCCCCAAGTGTGATATTTATCGATGATTTCAATAAAAACGAAAAGAAAAAGGAAATTAGTGAGGAAATACTGACCAACTTGACTAGGAGATTAGGATCTTCTACAGAGAGTGTTAACTCTTCGTTCCACTCTGGGTTTAAATTCTTCTTTATTGCACGAGTCTTCAGCTTCTGCGCCATAAAAGAAAATAAATTTCAACAAGAGAAGCAATAATGAATATAAAATGGAAAAAATTGGAGTACTTATGCATCAACCACAAGGAGATTTTTAAGTAAAAATTATTTGATAACTCATCAACCCAAAGTAGATACTGGAGGATTAATGATACGAAATAACCAACCAATTTGATTTCAAAATTGGTTTTTGCACTTTCTGATTTGCATTACAATCACTAATTTGTACTCATCAATTTTGTTAATTCTTCAGCTATCTACTCTGCTGAGATGTTAAGTTTATTTTCTTGAAGTTGAAATATGTTTGTGATTTATTTCATGAATTTTTTTTTATAAATTTCTAAAAACTCTAGATAACTTTTATAAATATGTTATCTATCATCTAATAGTATCTACCAATATTTATAAGCTTGTTATCTATTATTTCTAAACACTATATACGGACTTGGTTGTTTGATTTTGATTGGAGGTTAGTAGAAATCTTGATCTACAATAATTTGACATCCGCTAAAGGGCTGGGGGTGACAATTGGAGCTAGAGCTGGTGACTGATGAGGTTATACCAAGAAAAATTTGTCAGGACATTCTGATGCAAAAAAAAAAATCAGAATGAGATTTAAAGGTCATTGGATTTGCATTGAGATTAATGTAATTGAAAAAAAAAAATCACATATAACACTAATCTAAATGCTTTTTCGTCGAGGAATCCTGACACAATTTGTTTCCCTTATACCTCCGATGCTCATAACAGGTGGATGAATCATGTCCTGGTTTGGAGAGGGAATAAAGAGACAATGGGCATTTGTAAATGAATCATTGCTCATGAACACTAGCTATTTCCAACAACACCCATCATTACACACCACCGCAAAAAACATTGCGATTTCTAGATCTAAGAGAACTCCATTTTCTCGTTACAGAACTGATTCAAATCCAACGATTAAAGAAAATCAAGCCCTAGAGAGAGAACAGAAAAAAAAGACCATCCTCGTCTCTTCATTACAGTTGTAAGGGTGGATTTTCACGCCCGCGTGAAATGGGTGAACTATTGGACTCCAGTAAAGGTGGGGTTGGACCAACGCCCGAAGCGTAAATTACGCGCCACGTGGCGTGATGTGGAGGATTTTGCCAGTCTGGCGTTTGGTCATCTGCCGGGGGGTCCCTTGAAGCTGTCAGATTTCAACAATGACAGTAAGCAAAAATTCTGCTCCACGTGGTATGTATTATGGCGCCTGGTCAGCTGATTCGGGTCCCTCAACGCTTTGGGTTGTTAGAGAAATTATTACTTGCGAAATCCGGACTTAAGCTTTAAGTCACTACTCTAATAAAATATTGACATATGCAATCCGATGATCCGACCCGACCCGATTCATTGATCCAATAGTGAAAAATATGATCTCAGCCCGTGAAAATTTTAGAATTGCGGCATTCCAAAAGTCCTGTCATTTTGAGTTGTTTTGCTTTACATCGTCTTTCTTTTTAACTTCTCAATTCAAGCCCTCTCCATCTTCCAAAAAGGATCGCTCTCTTCTTTCAAAAGAAATTATTATGTGTGAACGCTGAATTTAAGGTTAAATTTATCTTGAAATGACAAAGATATTGGTTATGTAAATAGTTAAGTAAAATGCTTATTAGGATTTAGGGTTTATGCAAAATACTTATAGGGTTTATAAAAAATTTATGTCAAATATGGCTTTATTTCATTAATACAAATTATGTATTGTTATGTATTATTGTGTAGTGAGCTTTGTATCGCTCTGTATTACTGTTAATTGAGTTGTGTATTATTGTATATTATTGTGTATTGTTGTATATTGTTATGTATTATTATGTATTTTTGTGTATTGTTGTGTACTACTATATATTAATGTGTATTAATGTATATTGTTATGTACTTAGCTGTGTACTGCTATATATTATTGTATATTGAGCTGTGTATTGATATACATTAATCTGTATTGAGCTTTGTATTGATGTATATTATTATATATTGCTATGTATTTAGCTTTATATTGATGTATATTTAGATTTGTCTTGATGTGTATTGCACAATTGCTTATTATGGATACTATTATTGAAATATTTTTAACCCACTTTACATATTACATATATATGTTCTACAGATAACTTTTCGTTGCAGAACATTATAATTTAGAATTTCTATAACTCTTTAGTTAAAACTTTTGGACATATTAAAAGAATTACATCTACATCAATTTTTGGAGATCCCTATCTTTCAACATAATATTTTTCTGGTGTACATACTATTGTCAGTATAGGATGTACCAGAGTAATGCTTCATCATCAAGGGACATGATCTATCATTCATTGCATATGATATAACTCTTATTTTTGGATTATCAAACATAGGTGATGCATTCAACATTGAACATCAATATATACTACAACAAAAACACCATCAGTATATACTGCAATCGATATTAAACATAAGATGTCAAGCATCCAAAAATCTACTCCATCTACCCTTATCATGAATAAATTTATCATATTTCTGTTACCCAATTTATTCCTCCCATTTCATAACTATAGAACCCTGGCCAAGCTAGTTGTTGTTGCACAGAATACATATGAGCTATGAGGTAATGATTTTCATCATCATCCTCATGTACTTAGGTGTAGGCTAGTTGGTTGTTGCCCCATGAATAAATTCATCTATGAAGCATTCTAGAACGTTTGAGATATTTATCAACCTTGAAGGCAAACACTATTCTGTTGTAGTTCCCTCTACAACAACTTTCTTAATCTTAAGGTTTTTTTATATTTTTTTAGAGTCCCTTCAATCTTGCATTAGAGATGCCTTTAAGCCTACACTTAGGTGGGTCCTTCAATTTTTTAATCTCATCATGTGCATTACATATTAACTTGTGGTTCTTTCTCATTCCATCAAGGATCAAGTTTATATTTTTAGTCATGTCCTTCATTACAACCAACATTTACTATTCAGTCTCCTCATTCCCCTATAACCGTGTGATAATTTGATATGGAGATAATTTTTGAATATCATACCACTAAATTCCTCAAATGTCGTCATATCTTTCTTTCCAAATCCTATAAACATGCGACCAGCATATATATCTTTCATGGCTCTTGCTGACCATCATAATAGTAGATACCTCACAACCTCGTAGGGATATTCATAATATTGTCATCAAAATGTCTATCTTTAAATAGTTAAATTAATGAATTAGTGTCCACATATTCAATCTTTGATCTTTTCTCTTTTTGAATATAGTTATATGCATACCCCTTAGATAATTCAATATTTTCGATACCTCCAACTTCATTGACAAGATAGGTAAATGCATCAATGATTCTTATCCTAGCTTCTATAATTGATTTAAGAACTAATTCTTTCTCTTCACTAATATTTTTAATGATATAAATAAATGTTGGTCTTCTAGTTTAGGCAATTCATGATTGTGATTTTCTATAAATTTTTGCACCTTTTAAATTTTATCTTCATCCACTGCAAATCTAATCATAGCGGGAAACCTCGTTCTGGTTTAATTTTCAAAATTTTGATTGAAAAATTAAGTCATTACCCTTCTTAAAACTAGCTTTTGAGCACACAAATTCCTTACATTTTAATTTTACAATTTGGCTAATAATTATGATGTTTCTTGTAAACATTAAAACCAATATTATAAGCATAACTACAGTATGTATCGTATGCTTCCTTCTCATAATTATAAACACCATGTGTATAAGAGAAACTTATTCAAATCGTTGAATATAACCTTTTACATAGCTCAATTAACAACAATACATAGCTCAATACACAGGAATGCACATCAATACACAATAATATATTGCAATGCATAGTAATACACAACTCAATACACAATGATACATAGCAATACATAGCTCAGTACATATTAATGCATGGTAGTATAAGCTCAATGCATAGCAATACACAGCAGTATATAATTATACAAAGTAATACATAACTCAATATACAGAAATATACAGATCAAAACACACTAATTCATAGTAATATGTAGCTAAATACACAGCAATACACAATTCAATACAAAGCAATACATATCTCAATTCACAGCTTAATACAGAGCAATATATATAGCAATGCACAACTTAACATAGTATTTATTAACAAAAAAATAAACATATTCACAACATAATTTCCACATGATTATAAGCTTGTATATAAAATTGTACACATTAATATATAGTGTGTATTAGAAGAAAAATATTTTTAACATAATTTCACAAATACATATAATTTGAAGAATATACCCTAAATCCTTAAAAAACTATATATTTATATTAAAATCATATTTTTGTGGCATTAAACATATAAATAATTGAAGAATCCATCCTAAACCCTAAAAAACTATATATTTACAAGAAATGCAGTAAAACTTGGGAGGTGTTTAAAATTTACTAATACTAACCCTATTTTTTCTCACATGGTTGGTTGCAGTAAGTCTTCCTAGACATTTTGCATACCGCCTTTCATCTCCTCAAAGAATGCAACATCCTTCAAATCAGTCTCCATCTTCTTCGTTTGTTTCTCATTTTTCTTTCTCAGCAGGTAAAATGTGATATTATGCTCGCCCAACCCCCAAATATTTTGGCGCTTTCACTAGTTTTTTTTAAGGTAAAATAAGTGTATGGACAGGGTCAGGCCATCGGGTTGTAAGAAAAAACTATAAATATTAAATATCCACGTGTCAGTATTTTATTGGAGTCCGGACATAGAGATACATCCAGACTCCTAGACATTTTGCATACCGCCTTTCATCTCCTCAAAGAATGCAACGTACCCCAAATCAGTTTCCATCTTCTTCGTTTGTTTCTCATTTTTCTTTCTCAGCAGGTAAAATGTGATATTATGCCCGCCCAACAACAACAACAACAACAACATCAAGCCTTTATCCCACTACGTGGGGTCGGCTACATGAAACCTTTTTCTCCATTGTGTTCTATTAAAAGTCAAATTCTCATTTAATATATATATATATAGTTTTCATAATATATATTTATTATACTAAAATATAATTGTGTCAAGTAAATGATCAAATATGTCAACCTAATTCAAACACTATTAAAACATTTAAGTTCAAATTCACCCGTTTAACAAATGAGTAGGATTTGAGTTGACCAACGAATTTGATTTAGATCAAAAAAATAGCTCGTTTAATATTATTTTCTTAAGTTCTTTTGCTTGTTAGTATGATCTTCCTATTTTTAATTAATTAATCTAAACTAAGAAACGAATTATCAAATCTAGTCACTTAAAATGTGGCAGATAAGATTAGCGACAGTCGTTTTAAATGGTTTTGTCATTTAAAACATTGGTCTTATGATGACTTTATTAGGAGAGTAAATATTTTAGATCTAGTCTATATTAAGAAAAATAGATGCAGACTTTAAAAATTGGTTAAACATTATTAAAAATGATCTATTTTATTAGATTTAAATGACAATTTGACTTTTCATAGAATATTATGGTGAAAAAAGATTTATATAGTCGACCACATATAGTGGATAAAGGTTTGTTGCTGTTGTTATTGTTACTGTTGAGTTATCGAGTCAGATTCGTTTTACCAGTGGGTTGGTTCGGATCAATCTTCTTAGTCATATTTATTAAATAAGTCGACTATGAGCTGATTAAATTTAGGTCAGATCAAATTCGTATCAACCCAAACCCAATCCATTAACCTATTTTGACAACTCCTCATAAAATAACATTCATTTAAAAAAAAATTCCTTCATAGAGATCAAATTAGGGTAATCTTTTGGAATATTAAAAAGGCTCTATTGAATCGATTTGAATTATTTATATGCCTAAACTGCAATAGTCAAGCTAGCCATGGAAGTCTACTCTCAGGAACAAATTTTAAATTTCTTCGCTTTGTGTTGAAAGATTTTGCTAAAAAGAAATCCTTTGAAAGTCCCCATCATCTTATTTTTATCAATATGGAGTTAAGAAATAAATTATAAATAATAGTTTTATGTATCTTTGGTCAAAGGGTTATGTTATTATGTTGCAAGGAAATAGCAACTTGATTATGTTTAATTAAACATTTTCGATGAGGATTTTAGCAAAAACGTCACTGATGACCAAAGCTCTGCGTGAAATACTATAAATTAATAAATCAACCATAAGATATTGTATCAACATGCATGTTTATGGGATCAGTTTGAGGATTGATTATTTTGTGTGAATGTCGAACGTCGTCCGCAGACTAACTAGAATTCGCCACGTCACCCCTTCGTTTGATACTGCTATGTATCGCTTGGTACCGCTTACGTGACACATTCTGCTTAGTCTTTGAACGGCGTTATGCGTCCGGCCTCCGCATAGGATAATTTCTCCAGTTTGAAAGTGGGATAAGCTTTTGAAATTGTATTGTAAAAGTAGTCCATTGATTAATGTTTCTCTAATTTAGTCCATTTGATTATATAAAATTGATCAAAAAATAGTCCTTTGGGGACTAAATTGAGATCAATTTTATATTACGTCTATAACATAAGATACACTTTTGGATCAATTTTGTATAGTCGATAGATTAAATTGAGGCAACGTGATGTTCAAGGACTAAATTGGTCATACACAAATAATCTGGAGATTATTTTGAAAATTTTTGGTACAAAACTCTTGTATAGATTAAAAAAAATTATTAATTCAATCATATCAAATCATTCAGTTGGGACATTTTAAATAGCTAAAAAAATTCATGTAGCTGCTTGAATCAGATCGAAATTTGACCTAAATATTTGAAATTGATAAGAATCTCTAAATTTTATTTAATAATGTTTGATATATAATCATTCAACTCATTGAATGAGAACAAAGGTTTTATTTAGGACAACTTTCTTATTATTTTCTAAAAAAAAATTTTAGTAAAAAAAAAATTGAACTAAATTTTTTTATAATAGAAAGCTATTTTAAAAAATCGTAAGAAAGTCATCTCAAATGAAGCCAAAAAACATTTGGAATTTTATTTTTTTATATGCCAGTAATTGATGATTTTGTTCATACATTAATTTTTATTATTTTTTAAAGGTTATATAGCATTATTTGGCTTATATTTATTTTAATAAGAGAGGAACAATTAAAAAATTACAATTTTTCATAATAAATAGCTCCAATAATCCTTAACTTGCCATTCTAATTATTTATCTTCAGTGTTCTTTTCATTGATGTAGATTAGTGTTGGTTCAAACTAACGAGAATTAGTCTTAATTAACATATGTAATATGGAACAGAAATAAAAGGGGTAAAATTTTAGAAAAACAAATTATGAGATTAGCAATTGAATAGGAGGTAAAAATTATGTAAGGCTGAGCTTGACAGGCAGCCGTTAGATTTGTTTTCAAATATTATATTATAAAAGAAAATTTTATATTACACTAATCTTAAAGCAAATCATGATACAAATTAATCAAGATATTGTGACATAATTGTTAAATTTACTTGATTAAATAATACCTATGTTGCATGATCTATTTGACATAACTTTCTCGTGCTTTGCTTCTTCAGATAGCAATTAGAATTTCGTTTGACTATTACTTTCCCACTGTTTTTTAGAAATTTCTATGATTAAAAGTTATTTTTTGAAACCAGATTAGCTCAGTTAATTTCCCCATAAAAACTTCACAACCAACTTCATAGAACACTATGACCGTCACAAGCAAATATTTAGGCTTCGTTTAGGACGGCTTTCTTATTGCTTCTTAAAATAACTTTTTAGTACAAAAATTAAAACTTTTATATTAAAAAGCTGCTTTAAGAAGCAATAAAAAAACGGTCCCAAACAAAGCCTTAGTCTTGCTCCAAGTATTCGGAATCTAATCTACAAATTTTCATTGCATGACGGATTAACCCTATTATGAGAAGCCTCCATCCACCCCACTTTCCTTTCATCCAAAGATAGCTAAAGAAAATTCGTCATCCATGAGCAAAATAGGTAAAAGTCTCTCATTTGAAGGCTGTGGAGAGAGATAAAATAGAAACAAAGGTAAACAATGTTCAAATCAGATGGTTAAGGATTCAAATCCACCTACTATTTCCTCAAAAATTGGTTGCATTGAAAGCAACTACAACTAACAAAGTTGAAAAAAATTAAATAAATCATTAAGAAAATTAGTGGATTTAAGCCAATTAATTTGTTCAATGAAATAACTTTGAGATCATTTTGATTTTTTTTTTTTTTTTTTGTGAGCTTTTTTATATTCTAATACAACATCAACAAACTATTATCCTACTACTTGAGGTCGGCTACATGAATCTTTTTTATTCATTATCTTGTTAAGAGTTAAATTCTCATTTAAAACTAATAAATAAAAATTATTTCTAATATTTTCTAATCAAATCTTTTTAAATTTAACTCTACCTTTCTTAATATAAATCAAATCTAATACATCTACTCTCCTAACCGGGCTATCATAAGGCCATTGTTTTATGTGACCAAATCATCTAAGGCGATCGTCTGTTATCTTATATTCCACTTGAGCTAAAAAAAATGAAATATATTTGATATTCCTCAAAACCCGAAGAAAGAATTCATTTTTTAAGAGAACAAGGTTGAGCTCTTCCTTCTCCTATCACTTATGCCTCTGACCACCTCAACCCTGATAAGATTATCTTCATCTTTCTTCTTGAGCACTACTAATGCAATGCAAAGATGTGAACTTTATGAAAGATTATAAAATGAAGGAAATTATAACATTGAATGGATGGCCTCTTTGTCAACTTGCTTGACTAAGGTATAAGATTATTTTATCTAGTGCCATGCTACCTACCCCCAGCTACTTAGACCTTCTTCGGGACGGCTTTCTTACTTCTTCTTAGAAAAGCTTTTTATACTAAAACACTTTTTTAAGTAATAAGAAAATCGTTCCAAATAAAATCTAAACAAAGTTCAGATATCACCTTTCAGACAATGTCATATGTAACCCCAAAAGAATGGAATCTTAAGTATAATTAGCAACACTATGCAACATAAAAAGTGTTAAAATTTGTAAGAAATAACTAATTTTCGCAAAAAAAAATAATAATAATAATATCACAAATAGTATTCAACAGGTACAAAAATAAAAAATAAGAATTAATAAAGTCAATGAAAAGAGAGTGATGCATAAATCAGGTTCTGCAGCACAATGACATTAACTAAATTTGGATCAAATTATTGATTGTGGAAGTTAATCAAGTCACAAGTAAGCATCTAGCCCTTCAAGCAACCACAAAGTTGTATAAAATTCCCTATGGGGGCAAGAGACGCTTTATACATTTCTTCCACGATGAGAATAATATCAAACTACAATATACAAATTACATGAAGGAGCTGAGTAGAACAACCAACCTTTTTAACCTTCCTCTCCAAACTCCTTTGTAAATCTCTCATGAACCTCAAGATCCGCTTTGCTAACCGTTGGACGCTGTCTCGCAAGCACCTTATCGAAATCTGCTCTTGCTATAGGTGGTGGAAGAATCTGCCGCATAAAATTAAGTATATAAAACAAATCACTAAGACTGTTTGGTTTGATGGAATTGAAGGGAATGGGTAGATATATGTTGGGGAGTATGCAAGCAAATCATAAAATTCTACACATCTAAAGTCTAAAACTTATTTATATATCACTTTAGTATCTAAATTATATAACATAATATGCATAAAATAATGCGTTTTATTATAAAGAAGTTAATATTAATTATATTTATTAAATAATTTAATATTGTGAATGTTATATATATGTAAATATAAATATTTTAAGAATTAGATATATAAATACATTAGAATTTTGAGACATGTCTGTAAATCTAGATATTATTGTGTGCGGACACCGAACGGGAGAGAACCGTCAGATTTTCTCTCCGTTAACAATGAAAGTGCAGTTACTGTAGCAGTTGCGCTTTCACTGTGGACAGAGAGAAAACCGGGCAGTTTTTTCCGTCCGGTGTCCGCACAAAATAAAAAGTCATGTAAATCTCCAATATATTTATATTAGTTATTTGATTTGAATTAAATTAATAGATAATTGAATTTATTTTGAAAATCTAATAAATATATTATTCATATTTGACAATTTCCTACCCAATCCTAGTGAAGAACGAGAAGAAAAATTTATCAGCTTAGGTTATCACTATGACTCACATACCCTAAACCCTAACATAGAACTAAAAATTGAATTTCTCTTCAATCGACCAAATAAGTGGGGGAAAACTAATTTCAATTCAATTCCCTAACCATTTACTTTTTCAATTCCTTGAAGCCAGATAAAGCCTATAAATTACTTAGAGATGAATCAGTGAAAATTGTTTAAAAGACTCTAAACAGGTGTTAAATACAAGAGCGCACCTTGGCAGCAAGGCCTTCTGCAGCAAGTTCCTGCATTGTGGTTTGTACAGATCCTGGAGTTTTTGGTCCACATGGCATCAGCATACCATCAGAAGTTTTTATGAAAAACATTGCATCTTGAGTCTTTCGAACAGGCTCAAACAGAACATCCTTTACCTGTCATGAAGAGGAAGCCATTGGCAAGCTCATTCGTCTAAAAAAAGGGCTATGAAGCAAACACATTGATAGCAAAACTCACACAGACATAAATATCTGAACCGGAAAAGCCTTCCGTCCTGCGAGCCAAACTCTCAAAATCACTTTCCATCAAATTGTTAGGAGTATCCCCTAGATGTACCTATATAAAACAAAATAAAATAAAATGACTAAACTGAAAATATTAATAATTTAGGCTTCGTTTGGAACGACTTTCTTACTGCTTCTTAAAACAGCTTTCTAGAAGAAAAAAATAATAATTTTGTACTAAAAAATTGCTTTAAGAAGGAGAAAGAAAGCCGTCCCAAACGAAGTCTTAATCAGATGTTATGTAAAAATGCTTTTTCAAGAGAAAATGGTACGCTAATAAGGAAACAGGAGAAACGAGTTATATTAGTTCAGTAGTTTATCTTGTGACAAAATCACAGAAACCAACGGAAACAGGTCAGCACTTGAATAAAGGTCAAGTTTTTGATAGAGCGTTAGAGCGGAGCATTATTGAGCAGATCATATAGTACATGCTGCAATCAATACCTTAAACATATGTTGCCGGGCCTTTAGATCAGGAAGAGGAATGTAGATTCGCTTATCAAAACGACGTCGAATGGCCTGTTTTACCATAAACAAAGGCATGTAAATCAATTTCATAAATTATTCATTTTGCTTTCATAAAGACAATCACAGAACCTGATCCAGAGCATATGGTGTGTTTGTAGCAGCAAGTACAAGAACTTTATGGTCATTGTTACCAACACCCTGTAATAAATCAAAAGGCTCAGGACACCTATTTATGAAACAAGCATTAAGCAGATGATACCAACCAATAAAAAAAACACATTCCATTCTTGTTTGTAGATTCCACCAGAGATTAAGGTTTCGTTTGGGACTGCTTTCTTATTGCTTCATGAAGCAACTTTTTAGTACAAAAATTAAAAATTTTGTACTAGAAAGCTGCTTTAAGAAGTAGTAAGAAAGTTGTCCCAAATAAAGCCTAAGTTTAGTCCTCTCAAGTATTGTTAAGTCTTTCAATTATTTTCCAAGTTATAGCACTTGATGCAGAGAGCATATAAAAGAAGTTCAATTTGCTAGCAGAATCATCTCAACTCCAATTATGCACATGAAGCAGGTTAAATTTGCAGGCCATTAATGTTTTGTAAGGGATGTAACTGCTTGAAGCCATGTCACTATATGAGGGTTATTAAGCATGAGGAGTTGCATATTGTTTCATGGAAGTCTAAATCACCGTGCAATTCTCCAGTTCCCTTTCTTGTTGCCGAATGGATCCCATATTCTATTAGTTTCTTCTTTCAACTGCGAGGAATATTGTCTAAATTCACTTGGGAGGAAAATGAATCAAGTATCAATTCTTTTATTAAATTAATTTATGTTTATTTAATGGTTCATCTATCATCACGCTGATTTGGAACGCTTCCTCTCCTCTCAAGTTCCCCTCTTCCTCCCTTCCTTTTCCCCAAGCCTCTCCTTACAAACCTGATACAAATCTAGCATCAATAGGATATGCATCAAGTCGAGTTCGAGTGAGCTGCACTCGGATTAAATCAAAATTTTGATTTCACTTTGAGCCAAATTTGACTCAAGCTAGAAAATGATTGATTCATAGTCAATTTTCAAGTTGATTCAAGGCGAGTCTCTAAATTTTAAAATATTTCCTAATTTCTTAAGAATATAAGTTGTATTTGAATATCATATACTTAATGCATGTTTATAAAAGTGACAACACATATAAATGTGTATTTTTACCTGAATTGAGCCAATTTCATATTGTATCAAACTAATTTCAAGCAATACAATCTTGAGTTGAAGCTGATCAATTTTAATTTGAAATCCATGAAAATTCGAGTGAGCTTCAAACAAAATTGCTAGCCCTCAGCATCAACTCATGTTGCATTTCAGCTAATATATTATACTTACAAAGAGCTTGACTCTCACTGCCATGATTGGGATGATTTTAAAAAATTCTAAACAATAAGCTCCATAATATATTTGACACAATTTCATCTTTAATTGTGCTTTATTCTTCTATGAAATATTATAAATTGCACTCTCGCAAATAAGATTGGACACTATGCTATATGTATATACCAGAAGACAGTCCCTCTATATTTCCCTCCTAGAGAAAGGAATAAGAATTTTTATGAATGAAATGCAACTTTCAAAGTGGAGCCTTCCCCTGCCCGTGGTAATTGATTCATCTCCTTTCTTCCTTCTTTTATCTTCTTATCCTTGGTCGCCTAGGACCATTAATAATACTCAAAACTCCAAATTAGCCAAAAATCACTCAACATTTGAGTTGGATCAGAATCTACTTGTTCATATTGGAGTTGATTCATGTACGAAGACATTTGGCTCGAACCTAATTCTGAATTGAGTTCAATTCATGGTTGGCTCCCTCAAAAAAAAATGATTCGAGCAGGCTAAAAATATATATTAATATCGTCAAATAATTTTGGCATGACCCAATGCTTTGATGAAACCCTACTCCTACATACAACATAGCAAGTTACATTCAATTTTTGTGATTAGTAGTTCATACCTTATTTTTTTCTATAAGATAAAACTGAAATATAAATTTTGTTTGAACAGTTAATATTTCATTTGAATACAAATATATTTTTACATCATAAATCCCTAACCGCATTCTTTTCACTCAATCACTCTCGCAGTCAACAGCTCTCACCTTTCTCTCAAAGGACATGACTAGTTTGTTGCTTTGCTCCATCTACACCCTGCAACTTTCTCTCTCCTCTCTTAGAATATCTCCCAACACTAGAGTCATCTCTCATTCTCTCTACTTTCATGTTTCAACCATTCTTGATCACTCGCCTTCCTAGTCCAATCACCTTATATCTTCTCAACCTCAGAGTCTTTACTATTTCACAACCCCAATCTCATGGAGATTTTTCCTGTCCATTACAAAATTGCAGTCCCACCCTCGCAATTAGCCCCTTAATTTGATTTAATTTCAAATAAGCTAAAAAAATTAAAGTTGTTTCATAATCAAAATCATTTCAAGGCAAGCTGGCTCAATTCAAATAGAGTTTAATTTTGATTATGATTCCAATTCTAGTTTGAGTCAAGTAGGAACTAATTACTAACAACTCTAGCAAGACTTTCACGAACTAGATTCAATACTATCCCTAAGCTCGCCCCAAAGACTATCCTCTTCTTTCAAGCTTACAACAAAGAGTGATGGGAACATCAGAGCTTGGATGGTTTATCATCGTAGAGGCCGGAGATCTACAGTCTTGATTGAGTCTTTATATTTTTAGTTTTCATGTGTTATAGGAAATTTATGTTGTGTTATTTGTTTTATTACAGTTTTACCCTTACTTGAGGGAACTTTTGTGTTGTTTGGCCAAGGGCCTTCTTATCTTTTGTCCTTTCATATTTTTTGTGCCTATATATATGGCCAATTGTTCTCTTGTACGGATGATAAATATTTTGATATAAATTTTTTCTTACCTACTTTCTCTTCTATTGGTGAATTGAGTTTGTGTGTGAAGTCCTTTGGAGAAAGGCAAAGAAATACCCAACAGCGTGTGAACTCTTGGTTGGTATCATCTTCCTTCTCTAACTTTTTTTTTCTCCTTCCCTAGCCACCCAAACAGCCCCCTAGCTACAGCAAACTGTTGCCCTCAACCAGCAACCACCTCCCTCCCTTCCTCTCATCCACCTCCATCTTCTACCCAACACCCGTGACCCTTGGGCTTCCCAAATTATGGGATTAATTCACATTAATTGAACATTTATCTCAATTAATTGTGACCTTTGGAGATCCATAACCACTTTTACTTTTTCCCTTCCCAAGCAAGCCACATCAGCCCTCCCTCTTCCCAAGCAACCAACCCCACCTCTTCACCTCTCAAGCTAACTTTTTCCTTTCCCAAGCCAACTACTTCCCTTCCCAAGCAAGCCACATCAGCGCTCTCTTTCCCAAGCAACCAGCCCCACCTCTTCACCTCCCCAGCTAACTTTTCCCTTTACCAAGCCAACTAATTTTCTTTCCAAACAAACCACATCATCCCTTTCTCTTCCCCAAGTAGCCAACTCTCACCTCTTCACTTCCCAAGCTGAATTCTCCCTTTCCAAACCATTAAAATCAGCGAATGCATCCCCTCCTCTCCATGCAGCCGGCCTAGTTCACCCCTCCAAACCCCAAAACTGTGATCTCTTCACTTCCAAATCCTCATATAGCTGAAATTTTCTTTTCTCTCCTCACTATTCTACCTCTACAAGGAAACTTAGCTTCTACTAATGCAACAAGGACATTGATTCAACAAATAGCAAGGGTTTCAAGGGGAAGCAAAGGAGGAACTAGACGTTACTTCATCAAGGACTTCATTCCTCCCATTCATGAGCTAAGTATCAAACCCTCCCCTTGTCTTCATCTAACTAAATATTGGTCTTATCATTTCATCCATAGTAGCATCATCTCATATGTGTTGATTAATCCACCAAGTTTTGCTCAAATTTGAGCAAACAGAAACTCTAGTGACTAATCCCTTAATTAAATATTGGACTTGCGTCAACCCATATAAGCTAGTCTAAACCGATTCACCTTTATTATTATTTAGCCTTTGCTTGTTCGTTTCTTACTATCACATGATCTAATAGTTCAAATTTTTTTATTGTTCTTAATGTTTATGAAATTTATGTTGATGTCTTTGATGTTCTCTTAGCTTAAATCTCTATTTGCATAACTTATTTTATTTAGTCCTGCATCAAAGAGGCTTATGTCAGTTGTTGTGATACCCTTCCTCCACCAAGCAAGCAATGAGAATGCTCCTCACAACCGCTAACAGCATGCTCTCTCATCCAAAAGAGAGTAACAAGAACCTCCAAACCTGCAAAAAACTCAATTGTTGGTAGTATCTTCCCTAATAGCTATTGTCACCTATTCAAGGCTTGCTATCCCAATTCAAGTCTTGGTATATAAGAAGAATCTCAGCATTGAGCTTTAGAGACCACCGTCAACCTAGCATTCTTGCATGGAGTCAACCAAATAACTCATTGGGTCACATATGGGTCCACTTAACTAGGAAAAAAGTTCTAATAATACTACTAAGGGAATTGAAATAAAGATGAGGGAAAGCCTAAAAAAGGTAAAGATGGTGTTAGCAGACTTATAGTTTGTAAAAGATGTTAAGCTAATGAAAATCCAAGCGGTAGTGTTGGTAGTGGTGGTTGTGGTGACCGAAATTTTGCATGGGATATTGGGCAGATGCGAATTTAAGGAAGATGCCCGTGGCTTTCATATTTAGTATAGGATATGTGAAACTTTCAGCTTTCGAAAAAAAAAAAACTATGTGCTGTAGCACAAAATTAGGGAGGAAATTCCATGCACCTTGATGGGTTGGTGGAGACAAACTTGCACAAACTAGACAACTAGACCCTTGGATGTAGGAACTTAGCTTTGATGCCAAATGATGTAAACAGACCTAAAACTTCTCGTGGAAGAGGAGAACAATTAGCAGAAGAACAATAGTGGAAGATCCTTGTCGCAACTGTGGGCAAAAGAAAAAAAAACACCTTATTTTACCAAACAGGACTACCTTACAGGATTTTAAGCAAGGATCTAAACTAGACAAGGAAGAAGAACCAACAAAGCAACTTAATTCATAGCTTAATCATCAAATAGCATAAGCCCACATATAGCTCAAGTAACGTGTGTGTGTGCGCGCAACCTAGAACTTCCTATGGAGGAGGGGAAGAGTTAGCTGAAGGCTGACAGCGGA